ACTGATTATCAGATGATACAGTACTGGTAAAAGCAACTAAAAATGTTCCACCTGCCCAGTTGGAAAACGATGTTATGAACTCAGCCGACCTATAAATCGTTGTATGTCTTAACGTTTTGGCCTAGTTTTGCTGATTAATAAAACGCATCGAGCAGCAAGATCATCACTTAGTATAACCAAGAATTACCTGTGTAATGGTGAGGCCAATGCCAAAAAAGGGAACCGGATAGGCACAGTTTTCGTAACGTTTCGTGTAGTATAATGCAACGAACCGTTCCAGTGATATTGATAAAATACACAGTCCCTTTTCTAACATTACTGAAAAGGTTTTTTTTTGTCAAGCTACTTCATCAAAAGAGCACAGGTCACGTAAATATTTCGTCAAATTAGCATAGACGTGCCAGTATTTCATTAAAGCTGCACAGATCACATTACTACTTCATTAACGTCGCAAAAAAATTAGACCGTTTCAGTGCCTTTTCAACGGAGTAAAGATTGTGTCAGTACTTCATCAAATTATTGCCACAACAAAGAAATACAGAGCGTCTAAGCTTTCATGTTGCTCGCATTTTGCTTATTGTTCGCGCATCTATTCATTCACACACTTAGTGCTCGCAAACAACGAGTCTTTATCGAAATCTGGTTCTGAACATCCTTCGCTTCACTGCTCTCAAAGTCTGAGCTTGCATTTGTTTTCAAACTTTTACACTCCCGCCATTATGTCGGTCGATATTGTTACGCATTCACGCCATGACGCCAATTTAGTGCTGCACTGCTATGCACCACTTTTCGCATTTTAACACACTATGAGGAGCTCTGTTTCATAGCAGTTTTATCAGTGTTGTTATTTTTGTGCGCCACTATTACCTTAATAAAATCCCTTCGTCAGGGCTCTTCTTCAACACATTATGGGGTTAAAACGTCAACTTTCCTCAGTAGCCAAGCTTGCTCATTTTTCCAGTTTTCAGGAAAATTACAAACTGTTTCAAAACTATATCCAACAATTACAATTATGGTGCAGTTATTGGTATTTTCGTCATAGTCATCATAATCATTTAAACTATTTCTTCGGAGGCCTCGATTTTGTACTACCAAAATTGCGGGCATTCATAAAAATTTACCGCAGTTGCATATTTGTTCCAGCCGTTTTCGGAGCGATGGTTCAACGTTAATAAACTGCAGTTTGTGAACAAGCAAAATCATTCGAGTCATAAGCATAAGCATCAAAAACACTGGAATATTCGAGAGCAGTAATTTTAAATTACGATGAAATTCCTGAAAAATTAGAAATCTGTTAGCAATTATTTCAAATTTTACGGATCATCGAAAGGAATGGAAAAGGCAAGGCGATCGAAGATTTGGCACCCTCAGTGGCATTAAGGCTTTGACAGGTATTGTCCCAAGTCTTTGTTCTCAGTTCTTTCATTTCTTTCTTCCTCCTTTTTTCTTTTCCGGATTTGCAGTCCTTTAAAACAGTAATAAAAAAATCTCATTTATATCTACTCACATTCAATTTTCCTTTAATAAAATCCCAAATACCTGTGCAAAGGAAATCAGAAGTCAGCAGAGTAGCGCGGATTTAAGGATTTAATAACAAGGCGCTGCCAGGGCTGATTGGGATATATGGAGCGCAATGCAGTCCCGGCAAAAAATTGCGATTTTCATGAATTTGATATCATTTCCTGGGAAGGCCTACTGCTTGCTTTCATTTCCTTACCGATGATTGGTCGAGAAAGAAAACTATTTCCAATGAAGTGAAGCGCGAAGGAAGGTGTTGGTGGAGCTATGTAATCCAAAACAGAGAAAGCTGTCCTCGCAGTTGACTGAAGGAAGTGTAATCTAATCACATCTTTCAGACCGAATCACTACACTGATTACCCTAACAATTCTGATAATTTTTGCTTATCTTTTTTATTTCCATTCCAATTCGACGGTGGTGCCCAAAAAGACCCACAATAACACTATTCATTTGTGACCCATAAAATTCACCAAGTGAATTGTTAGCTTGTGATTCGTTGAAGGACCTCGATGAAATGTTGATCTACGATTCTTAAAATTCCCGACGAAATTTTAACTTTTGCTCCTCCTAACAATTCTAATGTTTTAAAACTGAAAAAATTCTAAAAACCTTTCTGACGATGACACTTTTCATAAATATTGCAATAAATGGATAAGCACATAAATTGAGCAGAAGCTCAATGAATAAGGAAGTTTTTTGAATCTTCACAGTTTCTGTTGGTAGAGTTACTGACAGAATTTCTTCAGCGCTCGAATCAGTAATGTCCATTATTTCCAGACCTTAACTCCTGAAATTTCGAACGTAATTTTCACTGCATGTTGATATTTGTGCATAAATTTGAAACAGTACAAGCAACCTGGTTTTAAATCTTTTTTTAGTTCCACATGAAGGTTAAGAGGTCAGTGGCCATCAATCACACATAAACTGAATACGAGGATAGTCCGTAATTCACGTTGTTAAATTTCACTTAATAGCTTAAACATTATCGCCCCATCCTTAAATTTTTTGAACTCAGTCTTATTTTTAAATCCTGGTTTAACGACTCAGGTTCACTTGTAGCCCATTTTAGCTAATTTTTATTACATATTTTGCGTTAACAACCAAACTACAACCAACAACCTAAAATTAATTCTTAAACTTACTTCTCCCACAGAACGCCATCTGAATGATGAAAAAAATGAATAACTTATTAGGTAGGTAATGGAAGTATAGTTAGCAAAATATGTCTTGATGTGCGCTATTACGCAGTAAAATTTCCGACTTAAATGAGTTTCTTTTGGTTTGTCCAGGCAAATTACGAAACTCCTCGAAATGGATTAGATTCAATTAAGCTTAGAACAACGTTAGAAAAGATTCGGAATTTTTCTGTGGTTTAAATTTTTTTCCAAGCCCATTAATGCCGTTTGCTTGCAAAATGGCGCTTCAGAAGATGTGTGAAAATTAATTTCAGTTTATTTCTGGCTGTAGTGCAAAAATGTGCTTTGAAGTCGATTTTGAAGTACTGGGTCGCATGTAGACATAGAATATTTTCGGAAAATTGGTCTAGTTATGTGGCAAGAATGAGCGATAACAGATGGCCAGAAGGGATAATTGAATGTTAACCATGTAATATTTAAAGAAAACAGGGGAAGTTGCCTATGCAGTAAGAAGATTCAGTTGGCATATTTGGCTAAGCATATTTGGCTTTTAAGCCAGCCTATGAACAATGCAACTAAGAATTTCGATTATGAGATGTTGCTCGCTGAGCGCTTGCTTAATGTCCAGTAATTGGAGATCGCTTTGCATGTTAACATTGCGTGCACACCCACTCTGAGCGCAGCTGATCCTCCCTGTCCCTCCATTCCGTCTCTATTCAGTCACGGAAACTAGCGGAAAATGATTTGAAAGTTCATAGGTGTGAACTTATAGTGCTATTTGCTGAAGCTGCATCCAAAGATTTAGTCAGAGTCAAAAGACTGCTAAGACTAAGAAGCAAAATCAGGCTCGGCCTTTCGAATTTTTTTCAGATATGTGTGTTTATAACAAACAAGCAATGGATATCGGGGTAATTACTAGAACTCGGCTCGGCTCGGCTCGGCACGGCTCGGCTCGGCTCGGCTGGTGTTTTACACGATCAGCCAAAAATTTTTTGTA